ATGGTGCATGCTCCTCTTGCGGTCTTGGTTTCAAAAGAAGATTAAGTCAGCAGAGTCCTCCTCCGCCGCGCTCCGGGAATGTACGTAAGACTAAGAGCCACACACGCATTACGGCTTTATCGAAAAGAATCGCGCCGCGCGTGAACTCGGCCGTCCATCTTGTTCTTCCCGCATCATGGTGGACCTCGCAAGGCTGGCTCAGCTGAAGAGGCTGCTCAACGACGGCACGCTGACTCGGGAGGAATTTGAGGCGCTCAAGCAGAAGGAGCTGTAGGCGGACGGCACCGATCGGGGCTCCGTCCGACCGGCGAATTTTAAGCTTTCCTCTGTCCCCGTACACTGTGGAGAATTTGACAACAACTCCCTCGCACAACACTGGGCACGGGACTGGCGCGCACTGGCACTAACATAGGTGCACCACAGGAGAAAGGGGACAGTGTGTTCTCTAGCTAGGCCCCTAACTAAAGGCCCTACTCGAGTACGAAGGTCATACGCGCGTACTCGAGTACACAGACAGAGAGTAAGAACGACGTACACAGAGAGAGAAAGTACGTACGTACACAGGAGAGAGATACTAAATGTAAATGCACGTACACACATGCACATGCGCCGATGAATGACTTCTACCTACGATGACTGGCGCGGGCGGCGCGAGGCGGAGCGTTCCGAGGCACAGTCTGACCCATTCGCCTCTCTCTGAAAGAAGAATTTAAATAAAGGCTCCGCATGGGTACAATGGAGTACTTTTAGGGTAGACTCACCTACTCACCGCTGTCGTCATCGCTGGCACCCGACTCGCCATCGCTCGAACCGGACACTTCGCACTCTGGGCACGAATACACACACTCGCCGGCGTGACCCATGTGCGCGCATTTGAACATGTGGTCGTGGTTGCAATGTGCGCAGCACGGATCTCGCTCGCTTTCGCTACCGAGCGGCTCTAGAGTATCATGAGATGCCATGGTCACGCACTCCAGCTCGAGGCAATCTCCGCACGCCGTGCATGCACCGCGCACGACATACACATCTCGCAACGGCAGGAACTCGGCGCTTGCTGAGACCCAGCTATGCGGATGCGTGCTCGGTGTGGGCTGTGCAGACATGGCCGGCGCGTGCCAGCCGGGCACTCGGTGATAGTAGGGGAACGTCACGAGCTCGTGCAGCTGCTCCGAGCTGAACTCAGCGACGTCATGCAGGTTGAGCTCGTGAAGCATCCGTTGCGCGTCTTTGATCGACGGCTCGTCGGGCAGCCTGGCTGTCGAGACGTCTAGCTCGGGCGATGACTCTGGATGCGGCGGCAGCAGCCGCACCCACGAGCCGACGCGCACCTGCACGGCTATGTGACTCTTAGCTCGTGACTTATGACTCAAGCTGCTCATGACTCAAGCTGCTCGTGTCCCACGCACCTCGCCACCCGCCATCGCCTCGACGGTCGCCGGCGAGGCGTAGAGGCGGCGAGAGAGGATGTAGCCGCTGCCGTTGTCGTCGCCGCCGGGAAAGACGTCACCGTGGCGATCGCGTG